AATTATTTATACGTTGATTATACTCTTCACATAATGGCTGATTATTGGAAACGGATTTGTAGATGATGATGGTTTATGGATGACTATAAATGAGTATATAAAAATTATACTTGTTTTTATGCAGTTAGCATAATAACAATTTATAAATAAGTAGTAAATGTATTTGGAGCATCACTTCTTCACTAATCAGTGATAGTAAGTAAGCACATGCAAAGGAAAGCAATGATCTCAAACCGGGTATTAATTAAATGTAATTAAATTATCTTTGATCAGAGCACGTATTAGTCTGCTGATTTGAATGCAAAGTTTGCATTACGCTTAAAAGTAATGTAGTATTGATTATTGATTGACTATATCGTTATTCTTATGTCCGGGGTTTCCAATTAGTACATTATACCAGAATTCGTATCGGCAATTAGTTTAATCATTGCTTATCGTTGTGATAACATAGGCAACTATAGGAGATGGACATTGGTAACAGCAATATCAAATACAAATGTGCATTTTTTGTGATAATACGTTTCGTTTGCACACATCCACTCAAAACGTTGTTTTCTAACAAAACATATGATACATTTCGCAGATAAATAAAGCGACCTTTGATTTATTACACTGTTTCCTGTGATGGTCTATATAAAAGTGGTAGTTTAATGTTCGATAAACATCGACCAAAATACATAACATGTATCCCAGTGTACGTCGCCTGGATTATAATAATCGCTTCGAAGGTTGCCGCTTTGTATCCAAACCAAAATAAATAAGGATAAATCCTCGGGATCGTTCATCTCACTAAATGTACTAGAAGATAGATAAGCTCAAATGGCAAACAGAAAGATAACATTATTAGTAATATCAAATGATTAATCATTTGTTTGAGTAAAATATATTTGGCTCAGGGTTCAAAATATTACAATTCATGACCAACCACAAATGCGACATTTATGGTGCAGGAAAACGAATAAATTTCTTAGTCATGCAAATCGATAAAACTATTGACATCTATGTATCCAGATTTTTATTTCATTTACAACTTCCACGGCGCATTTTACTAGATGCTATTTATTGCACGAAATAAGCGAAAACCGTTTTTTATTGTCGAAGTACGTTGGGCATATTCTTTTTTTATGATGGCCCTGTCGTAATTGCTGGAACGTAACTGGCACAGTTAACAGATTTTAATTGCAGCCGATATAGATTAATTGAATCTGTTGTTGCCTATTTAATGAGTCTACGCCTGAGACAATACGCAGATGGTTCATATATATACAATATTTTTGTAATGCGGAATTTTATCATCACAGTATTTATATTCGAATGTTTGTATCTTTGCGTGAGTTCTAACTAATTGCAATTACATTAAACTGATGTATGTCGAAATCAGGTAAAATGTTTAAGTCAATTAGGATTATCTCTGAAGCACTGAATGTATATATCTATACAAAAAAAAAGAGAAGTTAAGTGAGCTTAAGGTTAAGTAGTGAGTGTTTCGTAACAATCGCGGCGAGGGATATGTGAACGCTTAAAATAGTTCTCTTGAAGAATCGGCCGAGGAATAGAATGTACACTGACTGACTGTCTTTTACATTCGAGGAATAATTTAGGTGGGAACTCTACGAAAACACACGTGCACACGTATATAATACTATTACAGTACAAGCACGCAATATTAATGATGGGTATATGCATATGCATTGCGATACAACAGTTATCTTAATTATTTAACTATCTCACGGTCAGGGTTAGGTGCCCTCTTTTTTTTTAATTGATTTTTTCCCCCATTTCTCGTTATGATTGCATCATTTTGTTTACGTTTCGATCACATCGCGTAGTCAAAACTGACATTTGTTTGTGTTCGATAATGAATGGATGTAAATAATGCATATTCATTTATATAAGAGATATAAATGAATATGAAACACATTGAAGATCCATTGAATTTTCAAGCAAAATGAAAAGTTTTATTTGAACGCACAAATGTAAAAATTTAATTTCAAAAGTTATTTATGGAGTTTTGATTAATTAACTGACTTACAATTTCAAGGAAACTTATTGATAGTTATTGTAAATATTTCGAGAGAAACTAGATATATTTTTCTAGATAATGTTATATTGAAAGTAAAAGTTTTCATTATGATAAAAGATAATTTCTCCGAATCGATGGATGATTTAATTTGTCGATAAACTGGATATAGTTTTCTAGATTGAAATCTATTTTAGAGTATTAAAATTAATTTTTCATAAATTTTAACTTATCAAAACTTTATCATTTTTAAAGGGTAAATTATGCTTTTTATAATTACATAACGAAGTCGATAGTTTTCATTTGGAACGCGCTACTTTATCATATTTCTCGAATGCAGTGAAACTATTTTAATGGATTTGCTGTTAGATACACAAATACACGCTTCTTTCGCACGGATTTTCGCGATATTTAATAGGCCAGTAAACATGCTAACACCTTGGGAACGCGTTAGTACTTCTAATTATCACACCTCCGTTGAATCCGTAGTAGCTGTTCATTTCTATGTCACAAAATAATGTCTATATATTTATTAAACATAATTCAAATGATTTTCATATACAAATTTAGTTTATTTAAAAAAAAACAATTTTTTACGTTTAATTACATTTTAATATTTTCTTATATTAACTATGACTTATTGTGAAAACAATTGTATGAAATATCGGTTTTTGAACTGATATTTCTTGGAATTATACTTATCCATACTGATAAAAGATTATCTAGAACTCGCAAGAAACTTTTATTTAGACATAGTAATAGTAATATATGTTAAAAGGAATTTTCAATTGAATAGAAATGTAATAATAATAATATTGGATTTTAATCGAACCACTAAAAACAAACAGAGACTGCTCTCGGCTCATCGATCTGTATACATAAAACAAATAATCCTGAAACCAATTTGTGTGTGTTATTTATTTGGTAAGTCAGTAAAACAAACAGCGTTGCGTGTATCCATACCGCATCCGAAAACGAGGGATAAAATTGCGGTGTTTTTCTTGCACGTAAATAATTAGAAACTTTAGCCCTGCGAAAGGGCAAAATTGAGTTTTCCTCACTCAAGTGGTTAACCGGGACAAGTTGGGGAAACAGACTGTTAACATTCCCTTTTATTTTTATTTTTTTTCTTTTCCTCACTCGTACACATCCTTTACCCAAGCAATTACACTTTGCGTGCTGTTTGCAAAAATAAAAATAAAATAAATAAAATTATTGTATTCTCCACGCTCGCTCCTGATGGAGGTCTACGTACTTGAATCCTGTTTATTCGCAGTCACCGGTTTCTTGAAGCTTGCCATTTTCAGTAATTTAATTAGAAAATGAGCGCACAAAAACAGGCGTAATACGGGTGTTTGTCTTTTAATCACCCACATTACATAATTGAAGTATAAAAAGATCTCACGGTGGGCATAAACAAATAGTCTGATCGTAAATTTATATTTCTTCAAGTAATGCGTCAAAATTATCTTCCAATTGTCGTGGCCTTGAAACTAATTGCTACAGATTAACAGAGTTCGGAGTTTTCACTTAATGTTTGATTTTACAATCTCGGTCGTTTGATGACAAATTTAGTTCTTGCTTTTGGTATATAATATTAGGAAATCAGCTTATATTCGACTTCGTGCACATACTTGTTCAAAAATAAACCATTTTTTAAAGGACAAATAAGTGTTTTGACAGATTACATTTTACAAGTAGCTATTATATAATGTAATTCATAATTGGAACGATTATGACTAACACTATACTCCGTTTGGTTTTTATCAGTACGATGACAACACAATATTATAAAATATTATTACCCGACTATAAAAATAACTTATGTTTATGATTCAATATATTTAATTGAAATTATATAGTTTTATTATAAAAATTAAGAGCTTGAATTCAATTAAAATACTTCTAATCTGTTGCGTAAGCGAATGCTGTGGGCAGTTTAATCCTTAACCCACATAAGATCCAAAAGTTGATTTATATTGTACGACATTAACTGAAGGATTTCACCATTTGTAGTGCGCTATAAACATTCTATAAATCTACACAAAGTGTGTTATTAGAGGACTGTAATGTTTGTAGTTTTTTTTTCACCATAATACTGTTTTCCTAATAGCTTCACTTATTTTGTATTCTTTGGGTAATAATTTCCTATGATTTATCGTGGGTAGCTCATATGGAATTATAGATTTACGAATAATAATTTTAGGATAATCTATTTATCATTTTTTGTATATATAGTAATAAAAATCAAGTGGTTTATTAACTTAAGGCATACAATAACAATTGATAATAATTATATATTGAACGATAATTTTGATGAAACTTTATAAATTGGGCAAAAAAATGTGTACAGAATCATTATATTAATGTTAAAAAAAAACGGTTTATATGCATTCGATTCTTATTTAAAATGTATATCGATTCAATTTAACGAAAGGGTAATTATATTAACATGCTTTACACTTTTAAATATTTAATCAATTTATGTATACGTGTAGGAACAGCTTTTGTATGTAAATTCATTGACAAATGTATTTATTAATTTCAGATTAATTTCAATACTTTATATTTTCATTATCATATGCGCAAAATGTTTTTTTTGAATCTTGAACTTTTCTCTTTTAGTATTGATCAACTAGAGAAAAAAAAGCTCAAGCAGCAATTTGTTTGCAAGTTTGCCTGCAGACGCATTATGTTATTATTATACTTGAGTTTGCGCAGATTCAAATTCATTTGAGAAAACTACCAAAAAGCACGCAACTCGAATTTGTGTAAATAAAGCGTGTTACCTACTTTTCTTCTCAAATACAAATATAAAAGAAGGAAATAAGCAAAATTCTGCATACGCTGATTCATTGGAACGATTACACGTTGAAAAGTTATTGTTTGACAAAAGTTCAATCTTTGTTTATTTAGATATGATTAAAACGTATATTTTTTTGGAAAAATTATAATGATTTCTTTTCTTTTTTTTTTCTAGTGAAAACGATAGGTATAAGAAGGTGCTGTGGAAAGAGGTGCGAGTCGGTGATTTAATACATCTATCGAATAATGAGGTTGTTCCTGCCGATATTCTACTCTTGCGATCCAGTGATCCGAATGGCCTTTGCTACATCGATACTGGGCACCTTGACGGAGAAACTAATTTGAAGCAGCGAAAAGTTGCCAGAGGTTTCACTGAGAAGGTAATTGATTTAAAAATTCTATTATCTGCGTGATACATACATTCATCGATTAATCAATAACATAATTAGAGAAAAAAAAATAAATGGACATTTTTGTTTCGGATTATCACCGGATTTGTTTATTCGTTTTTCATATTAAAGCGGCTTATCTGCGTACGATATGAGAAAGATTATTAATATTATTGTTGCCAATAATAATTATCTTGAACAATGGATAAATATTTGATGCTATGAATTGGACTAAAAGCAAAAAGATATGAAAATTTTATGCAGAAAGTTTTGAAACTTTCTTTTTCGATTAATTAATTTCTGGCAATATTCAATATTTTGCAATTATAATAACATACTTGCTATGTTATTGTAAATTTATAAATCTTATCTTAATACGATGCGATATTTCCGTCCGAAGCCGTATTAGTAAACAGCAAACAGAAACGTCTTTCTTTGAAAACATATGCATACATTTTATATTATTTAATTTATTATGAATATAATTATTGAGAATTATTTTTAAATTTTTAGCAAGACGGTTTTGATCCTAGCAAATTTAAGAGCGTTATAGAAGTGGATGCGCCTACAACGAAAATCTATAGATTTCATGGGGCTATGCTCCATCCATCCGGTACCAGAATTCCTGTAGGTACGGATAACCTTCTACTCAGGGAATGTTTGCTCAAAAACACGGATTATGTGGAAGGAATCGTTGTGTATGCAGGTAATTTCAAATTCGTCGACGACGACGACGACAACATGTATATACAATTTATGTTTGTAATCATTTATAGGTCACGAAACGAAAGCGATGTTGAATAATGGCGGTCCCAGATACAAAAGATCGTCATTAGAAAAGCAAATGAACCAAGACGTCCTATGGTGCGTACTAATACTGATATTTCTGTGCGTCATCGGAGCAATCGGATGTAAACTGTGGCTGTCGACTTATACAAATTTACAAGAACCTTTCAGACCGGATGGTTATTCTGATTCGAGTGAAGCCTTTTTAGCCTTTTGGACATACATTATTATTTTGCAGGTAATTAGTATTCTTCGCGCACGTATAATTAACTGTTTGCATACTTATAATTTGTATTATTACATTTGCAGATCATGATTCCACTTTCGCTATACGTTACATTGGAAATGTGTAAGATAATACAAGTGTATCATATCCATAATAACGTGGATCTCTATGACCCGCTGATAGACAAGAGGACGGAATGCAGAGCGTTGAATATTACCGAAGAGTTAGGACAAATTCAATATATTTTTTCGGATAAAACGGGAACGTTGACTGAGAACAGAATGATATTTAGGAACTGCACCATTGCGGGCGTCGACTATCATCATCCAACGCTTCAGGATGAAAGTAAAACGAAGAATACGCTGACTGTGCTCTGCAATGCGAAAATGGTGCAGGATATGCTTTGCCAAGAAAGTGTAACCGATTCGTCTAGTTTGATCCACGCTACTCGCATCCAGGAGTTCCTTCTATTACTAGCCGTTTGTAATACCGTAGTGTGTTCACACCATCCTCACTATGATCTCATGAACGCTAGTGGTATTTTAGAACCAGTTCCGAACGCGTTCGAACAGGAAAACAAACCTGAAACAACCACTACTGTGTCGCCTAACGACAAATACAGCAGGTTGGAGGAGTCGCGTTCGGTGACTCCTTCGCCGCCGCTGCACACATCATCACATTTCGATAATCGTCGAACACCGCATGTGCCATCATTAAGCCCTATAACCTCAGTGGATTCTTCACCGACGAGTGAAGCGCCGCCAAAAAATTCACGACCAAAAATCCTCAACATTACGGCGTTAGGTTTTTTAGGTAACAAGAGAAACATGAATTTGACTGACGAACAGAAAGTGAAGATAAATCAATCTGTAACACCATCTCCGCACGAACTGAAACCTATCTTCGAGGCGGAGAGCCCCGACGAATTAGCTCTCGTAGATACAGCTTACATCTATAACTGTAAATTACTGAAAAGAACACCCAGTGAGGTGACCGTGGATTTACCCGGAGCCGGACGATACGATTTCAAAATATTGAATATCCTGCAGTTCGATTCCGTGCGTAAATGCATGTCCGTTATTATCAAACATCCAGTTACTAAGCAAATAATTTTATACTGCAAAGGAGCGGATACGACAATAATTCCTGCCTTAGCGCCCGTCGAAGATGACTCCGAGCAGAAGAGAATTATTTGTCAAACCCAGCAACAGCTGAACGCTTACGCCAAGCAAGGTCTCAGGGTACTTCTGATGGCCAAACGTATACTGACCGTAACCGAATACAACGAGTGGCTCAGGAAACACAAAGAGGCTGAACTTTCCCATGACAATTTAGAAAAGAAGCTTCAAGAGAGTTACGCATTGATCGAACATAATTTAACGTTACTAGGTGCGACTGGAATTGAAGATAGACTGCAAGAAGGTGTACCCGAGACATTGGCATCACTGATTTCCGCAGGAATAGTTGTTTGGGTTGTGACTGGAGACAAACCGGAAACTGCCATTAACATCGCCTACTCTGCGAAATTATTTTCCCCACAAATGGAGTTACTTAAATTAATGACTAGAAGTAAGGAAGCGGCTGATCGGACGATATCATTCTATCTCAACGAGATTGAGCGACAACCCGATGGAGGTGATCCCACATCGTCGAGCAATTTGCTGAGTTCTCGAAGTCAACCTAAAGCGAAGACCAGAGCATTGGTAATCGATGGAAAAACTTTGACATTCATACTGGATAGGCGATCGAATTTAACGAAACCCTTTTTGAAACTGACGACCTACTGCAATTCCGTTCTGTGCTGTCGCGCAACACCTCTTCAGAAAGCTTACATCGTTAAAGTGGTCAAGGAAGAATTAAAGATGCGCACATTGGCAATCGGCGATGGGGCCAACGACGTTTCGATGATCCAAACTGCCGATGTTGGCATCGGAATTTCCGGACAGGAGGGTATGCAGGCTGTGATGGCCGCAGACTTTTCGCTCTCTAGATTTAAATATTTGGAACGTTTGCTCTTGGTCCACGGACATTGGAGTTACGATCGTTTATCCAGTATGATCTTGTACTTTTTCTACAAAAACGCAGTAAGTGTTTGCACAATTCTCAAATACTCAATTAAAAATAAATTAACTTTTCTGTTTTAAGGCTTTTGTGTTTTTGATATTTTGGTATCAACTTTATTGTGGTTATTCCGGTGCGGTGATGATCGACCAGATGTACCTTATGTTATACAATTTATTGTTCACCTCTCTACCTCCACTTGCCATAGGTAATAATAATAATAATTCCTTGTATATATGATAGATTTTGTTAAACTATAACTTTGTTATTTCAGGAGTTTATGATCAAGATGCTCCTGAATATTTATTGAGAGAAAATCCATATCTGTACCGTCGCGGGAGGCTGGGAAAGGCCTATCGATCTCGATCCTTTTGGTTCACGATGTTCGATGCAATATATCAAAGTTTGGCCATATTTTTCATATGTCAGGGTATTTATAATGAAAGCGACATCGATATCTGGGAATTTGGGACTGTCGTCACTACTGCATGCATGTTTGTCATGCAATTGCACGCTGCAATAGAGACTCGATCATGGGTATGTACATTAAGCGTATCTAAGCAAATCGCTCATTACATTTTGCTTTCATGCAACATGCAAGAATACATTATTCAATCTATAATCTAAATATTCGTTTTTAAATTAATAATTGTTTTTAAATATTATGTTTCACACTATTGAATGACATGAAATTAATTGTAATTTTTGTTTTGTTTCAGACAATTTTACATATTGGATCTTATCTGGTGTCCATAGGGCTTTTTTATTTGTATTCAATTATTTACAACGCATACTGCGTGAACTGCTTTGGCTTGCCGAGTAACTATTGGATCATACAGCACGCAATGAGCACAGCAAATTATTGGTTACTAATTCCTCTCTCATGTGTAGTGGCATTACTACCAAGGTAAATATATATTTTTTATTATAAATTTATGTCGAATTACGATTCAATTATTAGATAATTTAATTGCAATTAATAAATTAATTGTTTTCAGAATTCTGTTGCGTGTAATAAAAACGGCTGTATGCCCGGATGATGTAACGCGGGCGATAATGATGCATCGACGAGCGTTAAGGAGAGGTGAGGGGTTTCTCGTATCTTGGTCTAGATCAACTTCAGCATCTTCCATATACAGGTTAGGGCACTAATCATCCCTTTGAGTTATCTGTCCATATTTTGAGTTTTTTTTGAAAATTAATTTTTTTAGCTTCTCTTTTAGCTTGCACACACGTGTTTATTTTTTTCTTTCAATTTTGTTTTGCTTGTAACTAAAACAGATTTTCATTTTCATTTCTACTAATTACCCAGTTAGTTGTTATCCTTCCCTACATATTTTCTAATTCTTTCTCTTCATTCTCACCTCATACACACACGGTAAGTCTGCATGTGTTTTTTTATCTCCTTTGTATCTCTTAGTCATAAAAATAAGTCTAGATGTCCAGTAGAAGTAAGTGGAAATTATTATTTTTTTATTAATTGTTGCATTTACCATTTGCAGTCGTGTTCGTTTGGGACGAGTAAAAACTTTTGTATTTTTGTTTCGTTTAGAACCACCGATAACAGGACTAAGAATAACATTTTGACAGCGGTTGGATGAGTTACATTTTCCACAGTGCTTCGTATTAAGGCCTTAATACTGATAGGATTATAAAAGAAAAGTGTTTCTACTAAGGAAAAATATATATTACAAAAAAAAAGAAGAAAATAATATGATAATATGAAATAAACGGAAATGGGATTTTACCTGCATTTTCTAGGCTGTGACGCATTTGTATATAATATATATATATATAATATGAGGGACCAATGAAGACATGCTTAAATAATCCAAAATCCAAAGGGTAGATATTGGGATCTTGTTTATTTTTATGTACGTATGTATCGATGACAAAACAAACGGAAACAATTAATAACTTGATTTTGAAGTCTCAATATGCTCAAGATTTAGGTAGAGAGGTACGTGTGCCATTTTCATTTTTAAGTTAGCACAAAATGTTAGGTACTAACTTATTGTATTTGTACTTAGCTAAACTGTAATTTTATTTAGTTTTTATTAATTTAAAGTTACCAAGTTTTACTTCATCTTGTTTTTAAATATGTATTATATATATAATTAATTGATTAATTACTTTGTTTTAAGCAATTACTTTATGATCGAACATTTATGATTATGAAACGATTAGTTTTATTATAATTATTATTGTTATTTTCGTTTAGTGATAAAAAGAAAAACAATGATAGCCCCTGTACATATATAAAAGTAAATTCAGTTTTTATGTTCCTCTAATTTATTTTTTATTTAATATATTTTTTTTTTATTATTATTCGCAAACGTATATTATTATTATTATTTTAACTTGCCAAATACATTTTATATTGCACAATGTTGAATTTCTACTACTACTACATCTGTTTTCTTTCAATCTGTTCGAAATCTCTACTACTATTATTATTTAGTTTAGCAGCAATACAATATTAAACTCCCTTTGTAAAAATATTACAGTAGTCAATTTATAGATACATTCAAATGCCTTAAAAAAACCCTTATATATTTAATATCAGACTGTGTGATTTGAATATAGATATATGTTTTGTTTATATAAGAGTATAAATAAATTGTTAATTATTAATGAAGATTAATTATTCTAGTATTTTATTATTTTTTTTAATATATAAATATACACAGACAGAGAGAGAGAAAATAAAAGAAAAAAACGAAAATTAAATTTAAAATAATCTGTACATTTTTTCAGTATTAAAAGACAGAATATTAATTGTTAATGTCTTGTTTTTATGTTATTTCTAATACCTTCTTAATACTCATTATTAGATACTTTTAGTACTTACTTTAGTACTTACTTATTAGTATTTCCTGATTGCAGACAAAAGTTATTTTTCAATCTTTTACAATATTAAAATGCTCAACATTTTAGTTTACTTGAAAAAGACTGAAACAATATAGAATATTCACTTTTTAAGTTTACCATATTTCCATGTTTTACGTTAAAATTTACATAAAAATGTTTAACAAAAATAATCTTGTTTTCAAAATTTACTTATGATATAAAAGATAAAACGAAACAGGATAAAACAGAATAGTTTTAAACAGAAATAAATAGTTAAATTTGAAATGTGTATATTGGGTTGCCGAATCTGTAGCTGGTCCGGTGGCAATCGAAATCCCGACGTTCCCCGAAATCCTGGCTGGCTCAAAATCCTGACAATAAAAATCCCGACTATATCGAAATCCCGATATAGAGTCTTGTATTATTATAAATTTCTACAATAACATTTATATAGTAGTCGGGATTTCAATATAGTCAGGATTATGGTAGTCGGGATTTTGACATAGTCGGGATTTCGAACGTCGAGATTTCAATAGACGGTCTTTCGATATAAACCCTAGCTGGTCATATTCTTTATTAATAACATTTGTTATATAGATGTACAATATTTAAAACAATATATAATTAATTAAACAATTTTATTAGATCAAATAGAAATGTATTTCCGGGCTTTTACAAAGGATTTATTCATTAAATTGAAATATTGGACGCTTCATTTCAAGTACAGTGGAACCTCGCTTAACGAGCAAAATGACTCGATTAACGAGCGACGTTTCGCATAACGAGTGACGATGAGAAGAGAAGCTACAACATTTTTAAAACTTGTGTACACATATTATGTGTATTTTTGAGTATACACGAGTAAAAATCTGGAACTGTTCCACTGTATTTAAATTCGATAAAATATTGTTGATATTGATTTATTTGGTCACTAATTGTTCTTTTTTTTTTGTTAATCCAATCAAAGTGTACTCGATAAAACACTTTATTATATAACATATTTTAATAATATTGCTGAATTTTCCGTTTCTATGTACTTGTTACAAGATTTGAAGTGGTTCGCTTTTCGAACGATATGTTTACTTTGAACTAGTTGATATTCACTAGCACTTCAATTTTACAGAATAAATATATTTGATAATAATGTTTGGAAAATCCCTAAACCATTTTCAATGACTTCATTTTAAATGAAGAACAGATCTGTATAATTATATAAATCAATTTCACAATTTTTAAAAACATGTTTTTTTTTTGTCTTCCCTCTTTTATAATGATATTAATTTATATGTAGATTAATAATGTGAATATTTTTGACTTAACTGCATTAATACATTTAATCATATTCTGAAATTTCATAATTAAATCTGAATGAAATTACATTTCTATTAATGATTTTGGAAATGATATAATAATAAATAGATAGCGTTCGTGTGTAATTGCGTATTAATAAAACAAATGTTATATTATTATACTATTATTATTATAATAGAAATATTTATTAATTTCGTAACAATTGTTTTGCAATTTGGCGCAGAGATAATTCGAAACAAATCTAATTTCGATGTGTGCAATCGTTTAACAATTTGCACGAATCGCGTAGCGTGAAATTTTACATAATTAATCCTACAGCTGTTTTGGTTATTGAAAGAATTGCTGCTGTTATATTATTATTTACTCTTTTTTTTGTATAAACATAATATCTGTGAAGGATGATGAAAAGCATCAGGTTTTGAAGTGGAGCCGGGAATAGTCCGGAGATGCTTCTGAATGCAGTCGTTTGAAGTTCTGGAACAAAAGAAAAATGCAATGAAAAAGCTATAAAAATGGATAGAAGACATTATTAAGTGAGTTAAACTAAAAACGTTTAAGCTTGAAAGTCTGAAGCTCGGCTACTAAAAACGCGGGCTATAATAATATTCTTCTCTGTGCTGACATACCTGAATCTTGAAACCTTATTTACTCCCTTTCTTTCGTCGCAGACTCCAATTAACGTGCGATTCTTTCTTACCAAAAAAATACAGATTTACCTAAAAATATTCGTTTTTTTTTTGTTGTCAAATTGTACGGAATGCAATTGTATCCGATGCATAAGTCTATTTCGATTAATTGTAACAAGTTCCAATTGAAACTTGAAATTGTTTGTAAGGCAATCACATTTATATACGTGCCCATGTAGTTGACCCAATTCCCAAAACCCTATTCGGCTCTTCCAATAGAATTTCATTGATGTAATGATATTATTTTGTAATACTCTCAAGTTGTGCATCAAAATACAGATTTTACCAGCCCAACCGCACAAAAAGAGACTTGAGAAAAAAAATGATCATTTACGTGTACTATTTTTATTAAAATTTAGTTTGTTTCCAAAGTTTCAAACCGTACTATAGTGAATCTACGCTAATCGAAAGCACACTATGCGAGGTATTGAATTATATCAAGAAATATTTAATCAAAAATTTGCTCAAAAGTATTAACAAACATAGAATATAATATTCGCGTTGAATACAAATTGTGTTAGTATGAAAATTAGTTATTTTATAAGTACGAAATTTATCTCGCTTTTAACAATAAAATTATTATAGTTTAGTCATATTCCTTCAATTTTTTATTTAGCACTCTTTGCAAAATTATTTCGTCTAATTCATAGATATTTTATTTGAATCTTTCTTAATCCGTCTACTAAGATCCATACATTTGGATGATTGGATCGATTCTATTTTTAGAGTGTTAGAGTATTCTAAATACTTGAAAATGTTACAATAGAATTTTAATATATTCATGGGACATAGTTTAAGAAAGTTGATGGATGATGGAAGAAACAGCCTTCACAGTAAAAGAGATATGAAATAAGTATGTATGTATACAAAAAGTTGTCTTATATTTATATACGAGCATACAGTTTGCAACAAATTTCCGGTAAATCTAAAAGTTTCGCAACATTGGTGTATATATGCATGCATTTCCGCATGTATTTGAATTAGAATCAAAAAATGTGTGTGTTCTGGCTGTGGGGGGTTTGGATGTTGTTTGGCCGCGTTCGCGACGGAATCGCTTCTTTCTCCGACTCGTGCACACATGCCTCTTGCCATCTCATTCTCTCTCTCTACCTTCAGCCTCCCACTGTTTCCACTGTCTACCTAGCACAAACTCATAAATCTGAGTTATAACACACCATCGCCACCTGCTCCCTTCTTAGCACCTCCTTCACCAGTACAATTTACAAATTTATTGGAGAGTATAAATAAATAAAATGCGGAACATCCCTCTCAAGACTATTCAAATAATTCAACCACAAACACAAAAATATAGAATAAACATTGAATGTTAAAAATCTATATTTTCTTTATAATTTATACATATTGTAACATCAGATATTATATAAATATAATTAGAATATTATGAAAAGTGTTTAAAAGTAAATCAAATTAAAAGGATTTAATGTAATTACGAGGGTTGCAAAGAGATGATGTATGTATATTATTTTTGCTGCATATTCAAATGCGTACTAAATGAATTAATAAATAATAATAAAAAAAAGTCACGTCCCAATATCGTTTCACAATACATTTATGTTGAATTTAATTATTTTTTATTGATTGAATTTTTGTTTGTTTTCAATAAACTCTCAAAAATGATTTTTCTACATTTTGTATTTTGTACATACAATAATATATACAAATTTAATTATAAATGCTTCTAAAAAAATGCTGTAATGAAGTTAATTTCTAGTTTATTTAAAGCTAGAGAATATATATTTTACCAGGAACAAACTATTTGGATTGTATCAATTTAATCTTATCTTTCGCTTAAACAATTGTAAATTAACTCTTATTGTTATTAGTGTTAGTATCATC